ATGTTACCCTTTACAACTGAAAACTACCGACCAACACTAAAAAATGAAAAACTCCGATCACACTATTTTGATCCACATATCTTAGTAATTTCAAGATCCATTTCTTACTTTTTCAAAAAAACTCAAGATCCATGAAAAATGTGCAACATCAGAACAATGTGACCCAGAACTAGGGCAAGAAAAATGGAAAAAAAAATATAGTCAAATACAAGTCACAAGAAGAGACAACCAAAACAGAAGAAAATAATAACAATAAATTTGCGAGGAAAAAAATAACATGCTTCACATTACTTGGCAAAAAACTCACATATATGCATGCCGAAGAAGGAAGAACAGTAAGCTTCAAAATGGTAAATAAAAATAAAAGAAACAAAAAAAACATTATTCAGTTATCTCAATTTTCAGCCATATGTGAAACACATTGCGTAAATTAGTGGGCACAATGCTGTTGTAGTGACAACCAATTCATTAGAACCTCATATCTTCTAGTGCTTCTCAAATGTTCTTCTTCAACATTTTTTATTCAAGAGTTTCCAGTGCTTGTAAAACACTCATTTTCAACCTTTGTTGAATATTGAAGTTTGCAAATTTTTTTAGTACTAAAGCTGTTGAAATATGATTGAACCTTTCAACACCAAACATGGCGATTACCCTACTACCTCCCCTGCTTTGTCGGATTATAAGGATACCCAAAATCACAGATAACAAAACGAATATAACCCAAAAAAAAATATACATAGATAAAACAAACAAATATGCACATCAGATGAAAATCAAGCATTAAGATATAAAAAACAAAATATAAACAATAAATGAGAGACCCAAATGGAGAAATAGAAGCACAACTTAACCTTTTAAGTACATGTTCCACAAACAAGATGGGTGTTCTTGTGTTTAAACTATATGTTCAACTATCTTTAGTTCAACAGACGTTATACAGTAACATGTAAAAGATTCACAGAAAAGCCTTTTGAATAATTTCATCGTAAACTATGTTGTATGTAGAATGATCGTCATCGCTATCTGGGTTTGGAGGCCGAATTAATATCTTGAGACAATTGGAAGCTTTTGCTCTGGACAATGCAACGTAAAGCTGGCCATGCGAAAATACTGGTTCTCGTAAATATATACCAACAAAATCTAATATTTGACCTTGTTGATTTATTTATAGTCATAGAAAAATAAAGTCTTACTGAAAACTGTGTTCTTTTAAACTGCACTGGGGATTTTTCATCTTCTGATGACATCAATGGTATTCTCGGAATAAACACATGTGTATTTTTAAAGTCACCGCTTGCAATTTTTGCGCTTATAACATGTGTTTTGAAATCACAACATGTCAATCTTGTGTCATTGCACAAACCTTCACAAGGATTCAATTTTCGTAGTAATATAATTGGACAATTTTCTTTCAAAGTTAATATGTAAGGAGGTAAACCAGCAGGATTTAAAGAATGCAAAAAATCTTCATACTGACTTTGATCATTCGATTCACATGTTTCATCAATTGCAACGAATGTTTTAGCTTCTTTTGGAAATTTTCCTATAAGCATATCATTTATTTCATTTACAAAATTATTTTTTGTCGTCAAAATAACGCGGGAAGTTACAAAAGATGCATCACAGAAGAAAGCATGCATGTTAGGAAATGTTGCTTCAGATAATGCATTCAAAGATTCCTGTTCAGTAGTATAAGGGACAATAAATGATTTTGGAATTTCAATTTTGTTTTCAAAAGTAAGAGGTTCTTTTCCATTTTCTATTCTCATCAAATATTCACAAAGGCCGGATCAGTTTTTGCACGCATGTTTTCTGATAGTTTTTGCACGCATGTTTTCAAGTCGGGGCCAAATGTCAGAATATAATAAACTCTCATGAATAAAATCCTCTCTTTTTCCGTTTCGAACTACTGGTAGAGTTTGTCTAAAATCACCACCAAAGACAACAACTTTACCACCAAAAAGCGCATTAGTATTCAAGAGATCTTTCAAAAGTAGATCAAAAGTTTCAATCATTTTCTTTTTTGCCATCGGTACTTCATCCCATACAATTAATTTTTCATCTCGAATCAAACAGGCAAGTGAACTTTGTTTTCTAATATTGCAACTACAGTTTTCATCAATGTCAATGGGAATTTTAAAACGGGAAGTAGCTGTACGGCCACTTGGAAGAATCGAAGCCGCAACTCCAGAGGTTGTTGTTGCTAGAGCAATAAATCCTTTAGATCGCACAGTAGCTAATAAGGCACGATATAAAAAAGTTTTACCTGTTCCTCCAGGACCGTCAACAAAAAAAGCTCCCGCTCTGTTCGAAGATATTCTATCTATAATCACATTGTATGCCATCTGTTGTTCACAGTTCAACTTTTGTCGTAGTAATAGCTCTTCTTCAGTAATGATTATGTTTCTTTCGAAGAATATTTCTCTTGCTTCTTTGGCAGCCTTTGAAGCCTTGAAATTTTCAGGGATAAGTTTATACTCATTAATGTTATGTCCCATCGAATGTAAGATGTCATTGAGACAATCTAAAACTTTATATCGAACACTTTTTGTTCCGATATCTGGTAAAACTTTGAAGTCTTCAGACATAGAGCCTCGAATTTCTCCCACAATTCTCTTGGATTAGCAGGATCACAATATACCAACAATGTAGCAAACAAGCGTCTCAAGCTACATGGCATTTGATAACTCTCAGCTTCTAGCATACATTCAGCTAAGTTATTGTTACAATGAAGTAGTCCTCTTTTTTGAGCTGATTCTCTGAATGTATCGCAACGTACTTCATTTACAGTTAGTAGGTCTTCATATGATTTTGGTCCTCTTATATTCATTAATAATAATCTCAGATAATATCTTTCACCTTCTGTTGGATGACATGTTACAACACGTCCAATGACATTACCCTTTGTTCGACGGGTCCACATTTTACATTGTACTGACTATACAAAATATTGTGGAAATTCTTTATACAGTAGATTGAGCTTTATTTCATCTTTATTTGTTTTGTTCATAGCGAAAAATTCTGTTAACATTGTTTTTCTAATCATAGGATTATTCATAATTGAGTTTATACTCGATGCACTCTTAAAAGAAACAAATTGTTGTCCTTCAAGATGTAACTGAAGATGATAAACAGCTGGTGTCATTTCATTAATAGGAAAACCAAATAAACACCATGTAGCCTCAGGCGGTGATACCCATCGAGCAGACTGATATTCTTTTATTTCATCTACTTCAACATTTGCGTCATTA